CCCAAAATAAAAACAAATATCCACACAAATACTTGTACTCGAATATTCATAGACATTTAGTTCATTGTTGTCAAAAGCTGTAAGTTATTAAATGTAGAGAAATGTAAATAAGAGAATGAATAAACTGTGGTATCACTGCAACATAATACCATTCAGTAATAATACCATTCAGCAACATATATGAACCTCAAAAATATGTTGAGCAAAAGATACCAGGCACAAGGGAACACATATTATATGATTTTATTCACATACATTTCAACAAGCAAAACAAATCCACGTTGTTATATATGGAAAAGTGGTTGCCTCAGAGTATGTGGGGTGGCAATTGACCAGAATGGGGCACAAAGGAACTTTCTGGAATGATGGAAATGTTCTATATCTTGAGTCAGGTAGAGGTTATGTGGCCATAAGCAACTATCAAACTCATTGAACTGAACACTTTAGATCTGTCCATTTTGTTATATGTAAATTATGCCTCAAAAAAATATGAATATGCTCTTTGTAAATATATACTATTCATCAACAGATAGAAAGGAAGTGAAATTATTTGTGAAGGGCAGCAACATCTTAGAACCCCGAACTACTTCTATACAGAATTGGTAACTCCCCTTGCAAATTATGTTACAGTAGAGACCAGAGCATTACAAAAGGCAAAGTGAACCAACAAGTTGAGAGGACCATGCAGTATACACAAAAGGAAAAGGCCAGGTGGACAAAAGCAAAAGTCTAAGACATAACCATTTCACAACAGGTAATAACAGCTATCTTTTCATTAATATTAGTTGGCCACTTCATAAAACTTATTCAGACATTTGCAATTAGTTATACATGCTTAATCTAAGCGCTTAAAAATTTTGGATATGTTTTTTCCCTATACTGGCATACCGACATTTTTTTTTCTCAATCAATTTTGAAGATCCAACTGAAGAATATTTTTTTAATATCATTTTTTTAAGATTTTATTTATTTATTTGAGAGAGAGAGAATGAGAGACAGAGAGCAAGAGAGGGAAGAGGGTCAGAGGGAGAAGCAGACTCCCCGCTGAGCAGGAAGCCCGATGTGGGACTCGATCCCGGGACTCCAGGATCATGACCCGAGCCGAAGGCAGTCGCTCAACCAACTGAGCCACCCAGGCACCCCAACTAAAGAACATTTTTAAAGCATCAGCTGAAGTAAAAATACCACTGTGCGTAAGTGAAAATGAGGGTAATGCTAACAATATATGTACTCTGGAGAAAAGAAACGAGTTTTGACTTGGCCTACTTAAGTTTTCAGAATCTCAGTTTCTTCACCTTTAAAATGGGCAAGGTAATACCTCCCTCAACGAATTTTTTGGAGAGTAAAGAAAAAACCATGTATAACAAATTAAACACAGTGCTTGGTATGTGCTTAGTGATTAATAGTATCCATTTCTTTTCCTAATCAGCTGTACTGTATCTTCTACAAAGAGAAGGCAAGCTTACAGAATTTGGATCTCAACAAGTATAATTAGACCTAACCTTCTAAGAAGTTAGTGTAGAAAATCAAAGCAAGTCAGAGTATACCAAATGTAAATGATTTTCTTTTCCATAGAAAAACACAAAAAACTTAACTGGACACTTCCATGTAGGGAATTGTGCTAGAAATAAACTGCCTTGGACATAATAACTCACATAATGTAATACATTTACATCCAATCTTGATAAGGTCACTTTTTTCTGAAAGGTACAAATGGAGAGTTGCTAGTAACTGGCAGTAAAAAATATCTTAGGACATATATCCTCACCTGAGAAGTGTTCCGTATCTACTGGACACAGGACTCTGTCCTATAAATGAACATCTAACAAGTTGAGGATACAGCAAACATTTATTTACTCTAAGAACAAATGAAGCAATGTGTACTCCTGCAAAATACACAGAAATTCAAATTTCTACCATGAGCAAAGCCAATTTTGTGACCTAATTATATGTTTGCAGATTGATGGCTATCCTCAGTGTGGTGTTGAAAGAGCTTGTTCAGTATCTTCCAAGACACCAGTTGCATGGGAGGAAGGGAAAAAGACAAAGTTTGATGGTGATGTTCTTCTCCTATGTAAATTTCACCTTCTTCTGAGTTTTTTCTGTAACATATGAAAGACCCATAGTCCCAGCTTGATTCCCTAGGGCTGAACACTGTGAGCTATGTGCTAAAAGCAATTGTGTCTATGTTGTTTCATTTTCCAGAGAGTTTAAAATAGAGCACACAACCGGTATATATCCAGAAGATACCAGCTTCACTGTTTGAACTTGGGCTCTCCTATCCTAGCCATGGGCTTCAATTTCAAGCTTTGAAGTCCCCACGAACCAGCTGGATGTTAGAGCCGCACATTCTGAGAAAACAGATCATTTTCTCATGATGAGGAAAATAGTAAAAAGGTCACTCCAATTTTAATAATGACCCTGTCACCCACCGTACTCCACCTCCCCACCTGCCAAGCATTATCTGTCCATCTGCCACGGTGCAAGACTTACTGCAGTGAATGAGGAGGATGAAGGATGTAGTAGGAGGAAACAACAGTCATTCTGAATGGACAGACTCTTCTCCTTGGTTACAATGATTAATTGCATTTCTGCTGAAGTTACTAAGTAAGATAATCAATCTTAGGTCCAATGTTTAGAGGAATACAAGAACAACAACCAGTTACATATTAGCGGTATCAAGGGCACAGATGAAAGGTTATCATTTCTCTTTAAAAATATCTAATATTAATAGGTATGTAAATGAATATGACATGGCAAAGTAACACATTTATTTGACTGATGAAATCCAAGTAATGATAAATTCAATAGGAAAGGGCAAGCAACTTAGTCATCTGACTCAACTCATTAGTTTTCAGTCAGTAGAAAAATCTCGTTGTTCTGGGTCAGCCTAACAGGATCAATGCTTTGCTAGGATCAAATATTTAAACTACTTTTAAGTACATGCACATAATTCATTAATTTTCTAAAACACATATACATATTCTCATTTCTTAGGCCTTAAAAGTACTATGATCTTAATTTTTTTAGGTTGTTAAGTGCTCACAATTATAAACTGTACTTGAAAACCACTTCCTGCTTCCCCTTCCCCCCTCCCCCGCCCCCCAACCCAAAGAAAATCTTAAGAAATGAGAGAACAAGGGCCAGGATAAAGACTGTATGTCCATGGGGACTATTAGCATATTAATAACCTGTGTTTCTATTTACACTTCCATCACCAGGGCTAATTGTTAGGTATTTTAAGGAAGAGGTTATGCCTTAATTAACAGCTCTTAGTAAATGAAAGCTGGTTGCATCTCTTAAGTATGCTCAAATTTCACAAGTCTTATTTCATAGCAGGGATTCAGGTTCATCCAATATTTTTATATGATGACACCTCTGATGAAGGAAGGAAGTCTTTAATAGATCTTAAATAAGTACCTTTCAGAATAGAAGCCAATAAAAAGCATAATTAATGAGTAAGCTAATTATCTATCTGTAAATCATTAACATCCATGCACATTTTAAATGAGGGAGAGTAAAGGGGATAGAAACATCTTAGGTATTTCATATTTCTAACTCTGACATTTCTTTTTTTTTTTTTAAGATTTTATTTATTTGACAGAGAGAGACAGTGAGAGAGGGAGACACAGCGAGAGAGGGAACACAAGCAGGGGGAGTGGAAAAGGGAGAAGCAGGCTTCCCGCGGAGCAGGGAGCCCGACGCAGGGCTCGATCCCAGGACCCTGGGATCATGACCTGAGCTGAAGGTAGACGCTTAACAACTGAGCTACCCAGGCACCCCATAACTCTGACATTTCTAAGGACTTCACAAACTCAAGAGTTTAGGGGAAACATTCATTTCTGTAACAGTGTTCCTAGACCTCTGCCCTTGCCATATTCTGTCCTGTCTATGCTTTGGGATTGCTGGGGGAATTGAATTTGATCATGTGCTTGGAGGAACAGAAAATCCCACAGTTCACATCATCCTAATCATTTCTCTGCTTACTACTCCCCTGCACAGTTGCATCACCTCCTCCCACTATCTATTTGAACCATAACCTACATGAGGGTGGAGTTTAAAATGACGTTTTCCCCAGATGAGGTATGGGTGATTCTCTGTGTCCAGCAGCACCGCTTAGCTTCAACAGAAACTCTACTGGAACCTAAAGGCCTCCCTGCCTTCAAAGTGTTCCCTGGCATGTGGCTCACTATTGATCATCAACACTGCTGTAGCTTCCCTGCCTTGAAAACAGACAGGAGTGATTTGAAGGAGAGGGCCTCTTTTAAGCCATCCCCTTCCCAGCACCTACCCAACAGCATTGTCTTCTGTCCAGGAATTTTAAGAATGGCCTCTAGAGATAGTGCCTAGGTCCTTGACTATCTAACCAGGCAGTCTGATGCAGGGAGAAGAAAAGTCAGACCCTGTAGGAAGACTGAAGAATTTAGGACAAAAGCCCACGGGGGCTTTACATAACCTCCATGCAAGGAGGCCGATTAAAACGTGTGGCTAGTGCTTCTCCTTATCCCCTCTGTTTGCTTTGGTGCCAAGGACAACTTCAGGAAAATAGAGGGAGTATCTCTCTACACAGTCTTGTCCAGAATAAACGGTGAAAGTAGAGCACTTTATCAACCTCCTGTTTTAGAATAATTACAATATCTAGAAAGTTTTAAAATAGTATATAAAGTTCATCTCTTCCACTTGCCTTATGCCCACACTATGACTCCTTCAGCAACTCCTTAAAACAACCACAGAAAGGTAAAACAAGAGATCAAGCCAGCCTTCCTGAGAAAGAGAAAAATCTGTTCTGAAAGCTTTTGCTCCTCACCAATTGCCAAATGAATTGGGTGTGGAGGGGTGGGGGTGGGGATCCTCAGCAAACTATAAACATAAGACAAGCATAAACACAGTATAAACACCCTCTTTGAAAAATGCCAGTTATATCCAAACCCAATGGTTTGGAAAAGCATAACTCCTCCCCCCCCCCCCCCAAAAAAAGAGAAATAAGTACAAGTACTTACAGTGTCATGAGACTTATCCTTGACATCATAGACTGTTAGCTTTATTTTGGTCTCCTCATAGATGGGATACTCAGATGGGAATGTGACACCAGTCAAAAACAGCGGGTCCCTTGTTCCCTGTAACAGCACAAGCAGACCACTTTGATTCAATAAAGCAGCAACTGCAGTTGGCAGCATGCAGGGACACATGAGAATGCAGAAAGTGTGTCTGAGTCTGTTTGTTTTTCTAGGAAATAGTTCTATTGGAAAAGCGATGTGAATTGCCGAATGATGCTCGTGGGCGACAGCAAGGCCCAGAGCCCCAAATACTGATAGAGCTGCTGATAGTAAATGGCACTGCAACAGTGTCAGAACTGCTAATACTCTGGAAAAACAATTTTTCATTATATGCAGAATCCTTAATTAGGGTCAGTTGTCAGTCCATTAAGAATAGATTTAATGGATTTAACCTGAAATTCATGCAAATGATCTAAGATATTGACTGATCAATTAAAATGAAGCTATTTGCTCATCAAGTACCATTTACTTCCTTTCTGTAATGATTCAATTGAAAGCCATGCTCTGATAATGTCCATTTGTCTTCAGGTGTTCAGCTGTGTTTTTTCTCAGACCGATTTGAAAACTAATGAAAGAAACTAAGTATGATGGACTTCGGGCTATAAAATTACTAGCACAGGATGCAGTGCACAGAATATTTCAATGCCTCAGATTTCATTTTGAGAGAGCTGACATCCAACACTAAATTTTACATCTATATTTAAATATGAATATTGCCAAATATTGAGTGTTTGCTAGAATTTAGTAAACCAGGTGTCTATGAGTTTCTGGAAGCCCAAGTTATTTAGTCATTCATTCTTTCTCCTTTTCTTCAACAAATACTACTTTTTGTTCAGCTCTGTGTTAGACACTTTGGAAAAACAGTCAATAAAACAGCCCAAAACAGCTATGTATGTTCAAACATAAACAAATGAAATGTATCAAAATCATTTCTTTTAAGTTTTGGCAATATTTTAAGAATAAACTGGGACAAACTTGAAATTTTTTTTTCATAGAAATGAACAATTTTACAATTTTAGTCAAGTTTTCGATATACGAACAGACCATTTTTGTTATTTCAACTACAGCATTAACTACAAATTATACCAGCATTGGAACCTAAAGTTTCCAAAGGGCAGATTCAAGGCTACATGCAGGATCTGGGTCATTCCCATTAGAGAAATGAGTTGAGTTCAGTCTGAATCATTTATTCCAGCAGCCAAGCACAGGCCAGCACTGAGCAAACCCAGTGTCTAGGGTAGGCTGCTTAGTTCCCTACAGAGAAATTCCCCGGTCAAAACAGACAGGGCTTACAAATCTGAAAAAAAGCATGCAAAGCTAAGGAGTTTAAAGCACACTTTCTGTAGTCCCAGATGTTCCGTATTTCTCATTCACTAAGTGCGTGAAATATGTGTGATCAGAACAAAATAATCAAAAGGGAAACACTTCCTCTTTTGAATCTGATCCAATACAATAACAAGTTTCCTCCCGACACATTTTGAATGTTACATTAGTAACAATAAATGTAAATAGGAAATCTCTCATCTGATGAGTAATATAACACCCTTTAGCTAGAAACATTACAGTTTTTCAAATTAATCACCTACCTTTCTTTGAAAAACACGGTACTTTAAAAAGACACACACAAATAGCAAAGAATATAAAGTTTCCATGGGCAGCCTGAAGAACACAGGAAAAAATGAAAAGTGCAAACACTTAACTTCTCTGGGGGCACTTTATGACTCTCTTTTATTCCTCCCAAATAAGTATTCATTCCATTTAGTTTTTCAAAAATGTGTATTTTTTTCTCTACTTGGTGATCTATTTAAGGATTCAAAGTGAGATTTTTTTTTTTTTCCTATTTACTAAAGAAAATAAGGTCTCTTTTGAAAAGGGCAAGCTCTTCTCTCATCTGTTTATTTTGGTAAGTTAGCAATGCATGCTTAATAACCTCAGGTATGCTTTCCTAAATGACAGAGGACAGTAGCACAGCATAGCTACAGGCCATGGACTAACTTATTTCAGCTGTTTGCTCAAATCCAGAGAGAGGCTGAGAAGGCGACAAGCAGGGCAGAGGACGGCAGGCACACAGCACGCTCACTCACCTCCACAATTTCCGTGCTTGAGTATCTTGTCAGACCCTGCTCCGCGGGGTGGATTACTGAGATCTGCACCAGTGTATTCAGCTTCCGATCACGAGCGGGAGCCACAAGATCCTTGCATGCTGGCAATGACAGAGGAAGGAGAAAGAAAAGAAACTGACACGGGGTCTCAGGGAAAACTTCTGTCCCGAGTTGGAAGTAAACTTAGCGACTGCGCTGAATGAAATCTCCCGGGACTCAGACTGATTTTTTACGGAGGAAGTCCCTTGGAAGTACCTTACAGAAATAGGAAGTCACGTGCTGCGGAGCTGAACTGAGGGTTCATTTCCACTGACCGCATTTGCCGCCCCTGCTAGTCTCCACCGACCTCCCTGGGATCCCAGCTCTAACGTGCGACTCTGCACACCCAGCTCAGGGACTTGAGGGACTTTAATTAGTCATTAAACCCTGCGCTTTAATTCACACCTAGGCAAAGTAAGCTGAGCGGGGCTATATCCGGGAAACTTCATGCTGTTCCTTATTGACATGGGCGGGAGTAGTTCAAATGTACTGATGCACCCTTCCTTGGTCCTTACCAATCTATTGGCTACGATCAAACACAGCGACAGAAACTGGGACGAGGGGCTACCCTAGCAAAGCAGCGCACAAGCCACAGGCCAGCGGCAGAGGAAGAAGACGAGGGGTTAGAAAAGCCCTCTGTCTGGGATTCCAGCCAAGTCTGGGAGGGAGAAGTGTGGAATAAGAATGGGTTAATTCTTGCCCTGGGGCCACAAATGTAGGATTTTCCCTTGAGACACCAGGCTCATATTACAGACGCTCTGCACCATACCATATTTACTTGAATATTTTCTCCTCCCACATATCATTCCCACAATTTGGGGGAAAAAATCCAAAAATATATTCCTTTTCAGCATGTCCCAACACCTCTTCTCCCCTGGCTTTGAAATAGTAGTTTTACTACCTGCAGTTGGATGGCTAAGTCTGATGCAAAGTGTCCTCACCAGAGAGGGTTCAAGTTTATGCTCAGCTGGTGGCTTAAGGCAGCCTGGGGGAACATGGGATCTAGATCCCTGGTGAGAGTGTGCGGGCTCTATATCACCATCCTTACCCCACACTTCTGACTGCTTCAGTAAGGGACAGAAGGACAGTTGCATTTAAGCTATGTTCTGCCACTGCAGCAATTTACAGCACCTTCATCCACTGGGACAGAGGTACTACGGCTTAAATCGGAAACTTGAAAGCAAAGGAAATTTTAAATCTAATTATCACCTTTCAGTGGCTTACAGATCATCTCATTTATAGAAGCAGAATGGGATAGAGGAAAATGCAGGAGCTTTGGAATCAGTTTGTTTTTTGCTTAGTTCTATTAGCTAGGCAATGCTGGGCAAATTTTTTACCTTCTGAACTCTTCTTGCCAGACTTTGAGATCCTTTTATTCCTGTATGTCATGATTTGTTCCTTATTTAAACCACCTCTATTTAAATGCCTCTGCCAATACAGGAGAGCTTAGGAAAGTATGTGTGGAAAATATAATAGCTACACTTTATTTAGCCCTCCCTATTTTTGAGGCATTTTGCTAATTATATTTTGATTTCTCAAAACAGAACTTTGAATTATTATTTCAGTTTTACATATTAAGAACTAGAGGCTTAGGAATAGTAAGCACTCACATTTCCATTAGTAAAACCCTGGTGGCTTGTTTACATCATTCCTCATTAGCTCCATTTCTTTTCTTGACATACTGAATTCCTCTCCTGCACACCGGCATCTCTCTTTGGAAGACCCACTGCCATGATTCTTTATTGTCTGCCTCAAGAGATCTACAGTTTTAGGAAATACTGATGCAAGGTTTCAACGTCAACATATCTCCGGAAGGGGGAAAAAAAAAAAAAGCTAGATTTAGATTTTACTGTTCTTTGGTGGTTACTTTGATCATTTCCTCTACTTGCCTTATGAATGTGTTTAACTTCATCACTCATTTGCTCGCTTATCTGTTCAGAGTGTACAGCTTTCTCTCCACTTACTGATATTGACTGTATCTGTCCCTGGATTTTAAAGCTGGAGTTTATTTGCCTCAAACACATGCATCTTGCCCTCTTCCTTGGTTGTAGCCTCATCTCTACCTGATGAGCTTATGACACCTTTGCTCAAAATAAGTTACTCCTTTTCAGATTTCTTATCAGGCTTGATTGTGGGCTGTGGTTACTTCCCAGAAGTGAGCAGCTATTCTCCATTTTATCAGTGAAACTCTCAGACTCACTCCTAATAAAAACAGAAAATCTTCATTAAACTGAAATGTTCTGTCCAACCCAATTTACAGGTATCCCAATACTGAAGAAGTAAAAACAGCAATAATGACACTTCGTATTTCTCTATATTCTATAAAAACAGCACAGAAAACAAAAACTAAACTCCTATCTTGAGCAGTACATATCTCTTTTCTTCCCAACAGCCCAGAGGATTTTCTGTTCCCTCAAGCTTACGCAGTAAGATATCATGGAAAGATCCTGAGATCATTCAGGATTCCTCAGCTGTATTCCTACATTCCTTGTTTTTTAGTTATGTGATGTTAAGTCACAAACTCTTGGACACTCAATTTCTTCATCTGTTTACCTGTCCCTTAGGGTGGAGTTGAGAAAGATATTAGCCCCTTTTTATTAATGGATTTTCTATGAAAAACAAAATTTACCAGTATCATTATACTAATATTTTTATTATTATTTTAAAGATTTTTATTTATTTATTTATTTATTTGAGAGAGAGAGAACACATGAGAGGGGGGAGGGTCAGAGGGAGAAGCAGACTCCCCCCTGAACAGGGAGCCCGATGCGGGACTCAATCCCGGGACTCCAGGATCATGACCTGAGCTGAAGGCAGTTGTTGAACCAACTGAGCCACCCAGGTGCCCTTCACTATACTAAATTTACCAATGTTAATATCAACACTTACCAATATTTAGTGTTTTATTATTCTGTAAAATGTTTTTTATTGACTCAGTCATAGTCAGGTAACTCCTTAAACACTGTCACCAGGTCCAATATTTCTTGGTAAATACCAAACCAGTGCATGAGTCATTGCATTTCATATAGTGAAACCCATACACACCACGGATCTATACATACTGAAACTGTCCCATTGGAGGGGTGATAAATGATGAGTGATTGGATTGCTTCATGGCGATATTACTCATTTGATCACTATAAAATCTAACCTGCATAAGAATTATTTGGTAGCCAATAGAGAAGCCTGAAAACTCTATTTCTCAGTCTTCCAACCATACTTGCCACTGCCCATTATCCAAACAAAACTCTGCTCTGCATAAATGGCCTTCTTAAATTCATAAGACTAAAAGCGCACTTTGGGTTTTGCTTCTGTTGTTTTGTTTTATTCATTTAGGAATTTCTTGAATTAAATGGGCAGTTAATAAAAGCCTCTCTGCAATCATTCATCTATCTATCTATCTATCTATCTATCTATCTATCTATCATCATCCATCTCTATATATATTTTTTTAATTTTTATTGCTGCCTTCTTACTGGTTTTGTTTTGGACTAAGCTATTAAAAAAAAATGTTCCCAAAGTCCAGAAGAGTTTACATATACAAGATGCTGACAGGTTGGGATTCAAATGTGCTTGTGTCCACTGAATAGACTGTTTTATTTTTTACTGAAAAGGGGAAAAAATAGCAATATAGAAGTAATGACTATTTTTTTAAAAAGCTATAATTTGAAACTTTTATTTAAAAAAATAAAAGAGCTCTGAGCTGCTATTTTTTTTTCTGTTTACTCTTCTGGAGTAACTAGCAACATGAGGGTTCACTTTCTATTGCCAGTGCTTTGATGAGATGCCCACCGGCATCCCCAGCATAGATTCATACAGGAGCCAGACAGCTCTCACTCCATGGAAGGGAATCCTCGCTATAAGTGCAAGAATAAAAATAAATAAAGCTTCAATACCTTGGGGGGAGGTCTAGGCATTGAGCAAACTGGAAAGCTTATGCTATGTTAACAGAGGGGACCTCTATTCAAATTCATTGCCCGAAGAAATGAAAGCCCACTGTGGCTTGATTTGAGGATCTGTTCAGGGCTTGAAATTCCAGTCACTGTGTAGGCTAAAGCTGTAAGAACCACACAACATACCTCTGTGACTAGATCTGGCCTAAGGACCAGAAGTTTCTAACCTCTGCTCGAGATGCTCCAAGCTACTACTTGGAGTCTTAGGAAGATAGCACAGATCATCTTTTGCTCTTGTAGTTCTACTATATGAGGGTCCAGGAGCTAAGGGGCAGGGTCTGCAGCGTTCTTGTTAAGTTAAATATTCTCTCTACCCAGAAATACTGTTTTCATAAAATATCAGTTTTTGCTTCATCTGGCCATCATTTCTAAATCATGTCAAGTCTCTTGAGTCCACACAGCCTTGCCAGCATTCTAGCCCACTTTGGCTGGAAGCCTCGAACTGTCTCCATACTCTGCTATCAGAGAGTTCAGTCCCAGCAATAATCATCAGAAGCGGAACACAACTGTTCATTCAGGTGCCTTCAAATTCAGCAGCACTGGCCAAATCCTAACGTTCTAGGACCTTCATTGGATATGGAGTGTGCGAATTAGCAAAGATGTAGGCCATAGGCTTTCACAAGAGCAGAGGCAGGAGCTGCGGGGGTGCTGTGAATTCACAGTTGACTCTAAGCAGCTCTCTCTTTCTCCTAAGGACTCTTTCTTCTTTGAAGTCAGGTCATTTTTCTTGCCTCACTCCATTTCATTTCTCTTCTTGCCATTCAGTGTTAGTGGCATCTAACAGAGTTTATCCTCCTTCCTCCAGAACAACGCAATGGCCACAAGCAAAGGAGACGAGGGCAGGGGACTTTGACAAGAATTTTCACATCTCTATTTTCTGTTCTTACATTAGCAAAAAGAAAGTTAGGCTTAGAGGAGAAACCACACAGTATAGCATAAAGAACATAGAGGAATGGCTTTTTCACTCAAGATAACACTGTATTTGAAACCTGGATCCAGCCTAAGGGGTTATGCGACTTTGTATAAATTATCTCTTCGAGTCACTATATTTTAATCTTTAGAATGAACGTAAAAGGACATATTTCATAGATTTGTTATAAAGATTATAT